GTTTGGTGTTCTATATGCTTCTTGTATTTGTATGGGCATATCTTTCTTTAATTTTGGGAAATTTTCTTCCACAATTCTGTTGAAGATCTGGTCCATGCCATTATCTCGGTATTCTTCTCCTTCCTGTATGCCAATGATTCATAAGTTTCATCTTTTTATGGTGTCACACAATTCCTGCTTATTCCATTCTTGTGATTTCTTAAATTTTTCATAATCTTTGCTTGAGTGGTCTAGTTTGTCCATTTTATCTTCCAGTCTTGATACTCTGTATTCTGTTTCATTCATCCTATTGGTGATGCTTTCTCCTGTTGTTTCTAATTGGCTTACTAAGTGTTTCACTTCCTTCTTCATTTCAGCCTGAGTATTCTTTAATATTTCTAACTCTTTTCTGAATTCATTCAGAAGTTTGTCCCTGTCTTCCCTCAGTGCTTTGATTTCTTGGTTTGTGTGTTCTTTAAATTCACTGAATTCTTTCATCATGTTTATAATTGTTCGAGTTCCATATGCTGCATTATCTCTAGGGGTTCTCATTGTACTCCTCTAGAGGACTCTTGGTATTTGGTGAGGATATGTTATTTTTGTTTTTCATGTTATATTTTCTGTTATTTTGACATGTGAATTTCTTTTGTAGTTTCTGATCCTTGTGTGAGACTCAGGCCTTCAAGTTTAGGTCCGCTTCTTTTTGTGAACTTTGTGGTTTACTTTTTCGGGCATGAAAAGCTGGTTCCTCTAAGCTTCGATTTCTCTCTTTTGATTTTATATTGGAGTGGCCAGATTGCTTTTGTCTTCAGGAGTTCCCAAAAAGGCCCAAGTCAGATGAGGGTCAGATGCTCTCAGGATTTCTCATAAGGTCTGGATTCCTCCCGAATAGATTTTGGCCTCAGGAATTTGGGGGTTGGACTGGCCTGGGAGCCGGGCCCAGGAAAGATGCTGGTCTAGGGCAGCTGGTGGCTGTGCCACACAGAGATGCAAAGCAAGATGGGGGCGGGAGGTGGCCTCATGGGACCCTGGGGACTGCACTGAGGAGCTTGGTTGGTCTGGATGCAAAGGACCAGGAAGAGGAAAGGTCAGCCCTGGCTTCCAGGAAAGAGGCTGGCGGGTTGTGCAGACCAAGGGAAGCAGAGGGAGGTGAGGGTGGGACTAGACCCAGGGGCCCTTGGGGACCCTAGAAGGAACTGAGTTGCTCTTGATGCACAGGATCCGGAAGCAGTGGTGGTTTCTCAGGTGCCGGGGTGCCCAGATAAGGAATGGGACAGGACCCAGGGTAGGAGGAGAGACCAGTGGGGGACATGGGAAGGTGAGTGAGGCTGGGGGAGTCAAGGCACAGAGGGCAGGATAGACTTACTCTGGAAAGAGAGGTCTGCAGGTTGGAGAGGGCCTTTTTCGGTTTGTTAGTTAGCAAACACTTGGGCTGACTGCTGGTCTTGGGTTTCTGGAGAACTGCTATTTTTTGAGCATGAGAATCAGCATTAAACTTCATTCTTAAGGCATAAAGAGTAAAGGATTTTTGTTGTTTTTAGTTTTTAATTTTTTTGGTCTTTTTTGAGACAGCGTCTCCCTATAGCCCCAGCCGGCCTGGAACTCTCTATGTAGACCAGGCTGGCCTGGTCTTAACAGCGATCTGCCCGCCTCTGCCTCCTGAGTGGGAACTGAAGGGGGAAGCCACCACATCTGGCTCACAGTAAGAGGTTTTTTTAAATTTTATTTATTATTTTTATTTTATGTGTATGCGTGTATTGCCTGCATGTAGGTAAGTGCACCCATGTCGTGCAATGCCCTTGGAGGTCAGAAGAGGCTGTCAGATCTTCTGGGACTGCAGTTACGGACAGTTGTTAACTGCCATATTGGTACTGGAATTTGAACCTGGGTCTTCTGCAAGAACAATCAGTGTTCTAAACCACTGAGCCATCTCTCCAGCCCCCAGAATAACAGTTTGAAGATTTTTTTTTAAAGAGGTGGCATATAAGGGGTAGGTAGAAATGATAATTGTATTCATTTTTGAAGATTTGTCTTTTATATCTTAAAAAATTTTCATGTCTGAGACAATGAATTAGTTTTACATTGCTAAATGCGCCACTGTTTTCAAATGTTTTCTCTGATTATAAAAAATGATGCAAACTTGTAAAAAGCTGAACAGTTTTAAGAACAAATAACAACAACAAAAAAGAACACGGGCAGGAGAGATGGTTCAGTGGCCAAGAGCACTGGCTGTTCTCACAGAGAACCTGGAATCCATTCCCAGCACCCACAAGATGGCTAACAACCATCTGTGACTCCAGTTCTAGACACTCCAATGCTCTCTTCTGGTCTCCACAGGCATTACATGGATAGGTGCACTTACATCCAGGCAAAACACCCATGCACATAAAATAAAAATAAATAAAATTACTAAAAAAAAAGAGAGAGAACACAAATCAAATAAATGTTATCAACAAAAGCAACTCCAGTGTTGAGAATGTGCATTTTAGGTATAGAAACACATCCCCTCTACTTGCTACTCATATGGTTTGGAGCAAACAACTCAATTCAGCAATTTCTTCATCTGTAAAATAGAGATTTAAGCTCTGTGACATCTGTAAAATAGATATACTAGTATACAGGTAATGATACTTACTTCCTAGATAATTTCAAAGATTCAATGAGAACATTTTTAAAAAGTCTATCATGGCACCTGTACATGACTGGTAAATGATAGTGAACATACCTCAGGTCTCCTTGTCTCTTAATCTAGTGCTTTTCCTCTAATTTCATTGCCTTTATTGTAACTGGACTTCAGCAAAAGTTATTGAGAGTCTATTAAACAACGGTGGTATTATATTACATAGGGTAGAGTTTTAAAGTTGTTTTTTTAAGAGAGAGAGAGAGAGAGAGAGAGAGAGAGAGAGAGAAAGTCTTACTATGTAGCCCTGACTGGTCTGGACCTGGCTATGTAGACCAGGCTGACCTTCAACTCACAGAGACCCACCTGCCTCTGCTTCTTGAGGGCTGAGATTCCAGGTATATACCAACATGCCTGGCTATGAAGAGGGTATTTTAAAATTTTTATTTATTAATTATTGTGTGCAGAGTTGTGGGCATGCATGTGCCCTGTCATATATGTGGAAGTCAGAGAACAACTTCTTGGAGTCAGTCCTTTCCTTCTATCTTTATGTGGGTTCCAGGGATTGAACTCGGGTTATCAGGTTATCAGGATTGCATATTGCTCCTTATTCACTTTTCCTATTAACAACATAAAGCTGCTTTCAAATTTGGAC